AGTGGCTCATAGTTAAACTATGCACCGTGAAGAAAAAATACCACCGCTTACTTGTTCTGAATCTGCCACTTGATGATTTTATTTGATCCCCTCTGGGTCTTGTACTACAACAGACAGTTAATGAGCATTCCCTGTTCATTTTTTCCATTACACTCCTATATAGATTTTTATCATTTTCATCTTTAGCTATTTCTTTGCTAGGCTGAAGATCCTTTATTTAATTGCTCTTTATCATTGCCACCCATTTCTAGTTCTATTATCTCTCTCTTTTTTCCCCCCCTCACCCTTCCTTTAAATATGGGGATCAGAACTGCACCCAGAGTCAGAACAAAAGCACAGGCAGTTTACAGACTGGCATAGCAGACTTAAGCTCTGTTGGCCATTCTTTCCTGATTTTTTTTTTTTTTTTTGGCCAGTCCTAAACACTTAACCAATGTTTGGATTTACTATAGTAAGCTCTCTACATCACTTCCTTTAGTGCTAATAGCTTACAGCCTGAATAATAGCAAGATTGTTCTCCCCTGCATGCATTACTTCATAGTATCAGCAGCAAGCTTCATCTCCACTTACTAAGCATCACAAGATCCCTCTCTGACTCTTCATAATTAGCTTCCATTTTTGCTACCCTCATTAACTTGGAGACATGCTGCACTCATGTGTCCAGATCACCAATGCATATGCAGACTAGTGTTAAGCCTAGCACACATCCGTGTGCAACTCCACCAGTGACCTCTGTGAAAACAGGCCATTTGTTCCTACCTTATCTTTCAACCAATTATCAGTCTAGGAGAGAACTTTCCTCTTATGTCAGAGCAGTTCCATTTCACTCAGCACCTTTGGCAAATAGTTCTCAAAAGATTTTCTGAAACTGAAGAGTACTGCATCAGCTAAATCACACTTACAACCTAAACAGTGTCTTCAAAGAACTCTATCAAACCTCTGAGATTGTTCTGACTCTTTCCTGGTATATCAAATTTGTCCATGAATCCATTAGTTTTCTTCTTCACTGTATTTACCAACAAATTGACTGGTATGAATGCCAGTCATACTTGTCCTGTTGTTTCCTACAGGCTTTCTGGATGCCTTTTTGAAACTGGCAACACCTTTGGCATGCTCAAGTTCACTGCTACCACAGCAGTACTGTGCTGTTAAACACCACCATTAACAGTTCAGCAATTTTACAGAGAGCTCTTCCAGAAGTCTTGGGTGCATTCAGACTTGGCAATTTTGGTTGCAACAAATGCTGTAACCCATTTCTATAATTTTGTTCTAAAAACCAAAATATTCCAGCATCTCTTGATTTGGAAGAGATGCCTCAATGGTACCTTGTGCTTCTCTCCCCACAGGAGAAAGATTTTGTTTTGGGAATATGAGGTCCTAGACAGTGAGCATGAGTTTTTTGAGCTCTTTTAGATCTTAGTTATCAATTGACCCAATGGCCTTCCTGTTTCTGATGTCTTTGAAAAGGTACTTTTAACAAGCTTCTCTGCCTTTTAAAAATCACTTATTAGGCTTTAACTTGTTTTACTGTGTATTTTATGCTTAATTTACCCTATTTTCACTTTTTTATTTTTTTGGACATAAGTTTTTGAAGTTTTCTGTTTCTTATAGCCTGCTTAACCACGGGTTGAGGATCAGAGAAGGATTTGCTTGGGTATATGCATTTGTTCTGAGTCTCTCCACACTGCTACAAGCATTTTACTCATTTGACTGTTCCCCTGACCAGGTTTTCCATAGGAACTCTAATGAATGTCCTGCCAACTACCTTCTCTGTGGTAGACCAATGACATCAATAACTTACCTTAGAACTAACCATTCACTCCCTCCATCTTAATCTTCTAGTCTTCTACCATTTGCATAGAACAGTTCTATTTTCATCTGACTGCTTGTTCTTCTGTGCTCCTGTCTATATTTGACCTAGTTTTTCATGTGCTCTATATGACCTTCATCAACTTCTGTCACATGCACAGTAATGTTAAGGCCTTCAACCCCAGAGGCTGTGTCATCTTGACCTGTGTGTCCTTTCTGCTTGTCCTCACTCAGAATATTGGGATTACAGTGCAGACTGATGCTGCAGAGGTCTTTATTCTTAACCTTCTATTTAGCTACTCAGATGATGTTTCCAGCACTATTTTGGTAGCCCTTCTATGTCACCAGCACTTCTCCACCTGCTTCTCCAGCACAAAAACATAGTCTAGACTTCTTTTGTTGTAAGCCTCCATGGCATGTAGTTGGAAGCTAGACTCCCTTCCAGCAACATAAACCCAGCTGCACTCCACTTAGTTGTCAGGAGATATCCATCTATCACCTAGACTCAACACCATGCAATGGCATTCTCATAGCAAAAGGATAGCTGGCCATCACGTGAGAGCAAGGTCTCGTCTACAGGATGAAATTTCAGGATCATTTCTCCTTTACATGTTTTATGTCCTCCAAATTAGGAGTCACCCCTCATAGAAGCCCAGTGGCAGCCTGCATAGAGATAAGCAGTGAGACTACATGCCTAGAGGTTTAGTTTACACATTTGTAATTAAATATACTTTCCTTACACATATACTTAGCATGTTGTGACTTCTGAAGTGGACGAGAGTCTGCTTCAGTTATAGCAATCTACATGGGCACCTTGCAATGGCATAACTATCTCTTTGGTTTAACAGGTGTATTAATACTGTTGAAAGTAAGAAAATGCTGCTCTTTTCTAACTGGAGACCTGATATCATCTTCTAGCCTGTGAAACCGAAGTGTCCAAGCTAATGGCCTTGGCACACACCTTGTGTTTTAGGCTTACTCTCAGTGTATTTTCACTAAAGTTTTCACTTTGTGCCTCCTTCCCCTTTCCCCCTGCCTTGAACTTTGATTCAGACCATTCTCATCCTCCTGACAGACATTCTAGTGGCTTTCTAAATATCTACCTTTGATACTGGCCTATTAAGGTTTTAAAAAATAAATATATTAAAATAAAATAAATTAAAAAAATCCTTCATCTGCCTTCCATTAGCCATCGTTGACCCACGGACCTAGTACATCCTCTAGGTTCCCACAAAGCATTTTCAAGATAATCCTTCACAAGTACTAAGGAGTGGGAAAGTTTAATTTTTCTTGTGTAAAATGCTGGTATCGCTAACAGGTATTTCCAATAACTGCCAGGCAATCATGCTTTATAATCTAATGGATTACAGCCATCTTTATGATCGTATGAAATGACTGATTGTGTGAGGCCTTAAATACAGTTTTCTTAAGACAAGAGCAGACACATAACCAGCCACAACTTTCAGTTCAAAACAGCTCAAAACAGTTTTCTAAGATGCAGCATCTGTTGAACTGTTAATGGGAGCTGTACTTACAAATACATCCCACATCAAATCAAAGAGTAGTCTCTATAACCAAGACTCATCAATTCAAAATGGGACCTTACACATTTAGATTCCAAAACTAGATTTCTTACTATGAATTCTACTTTCACTTATACCAAGTCTGCTACATTTTATTAGTTATAATGTACACAACTTTAAACACAAAAGAATTCTTGAGGGTTTCCCACACACACTGTCACGGCTGTGTTTATAGGCAAGATGATTAAACATTTGCATTTTATTGTAAAGGGTAAATTGTACCATACAGTAAAGTGAAACTCAATACTAACTGATTCATAAAACAGGCCTGATTTTTCAGTTGATAGTAAATGGTTCTCTTTTCCTTTCCACCATCAAATCTAATTTAAAGTAACCCAGTGTACTGCAAATACATTAGATACTTAGTACTCTCCAGTAATGGCAGGGAAACTCATCACAAATTGCAGAATGTTATGAATCATCTTGTGAACACGTAACTGTTATACACTGCAGAAGGCACTTTAACAAATAGTTTCATTCATTTATGTCAATACTTCATAATTAGCACAGACAAGTGTCTGTAAATTGAACTCTTGAACACCACACTGCTTAGTTACCAGAGGTTTTTTTATTTAAAATTTTGAACACTTGATGTATTGAAAGACCCCATTAAAATTTTGTACCAAAGACAAACGTTTTCATTTTCCATTCTAAATGTGTTAGCACAAACTAATGAACTCAATAATGTTCAAAGCAGCCATAAGCATATGCTGACCTGTACTACATAAACAGTTCAACTGACTTTATCACGTCTATTAATTTAAGGTTTTAAAGTATACTTAACTGTTTTGCTCAATAAGAGATAATAATAAAAGAACTATGAGGCTGTATAGAAATTAGTTCTGATGCTTTTTTCTCCACAGCTATGCCAGAGTGAGTCCACACTCAGAAGTAACAGGGGACAACCCAGTGACATGATGGCCAAAAGTGGTTAGAAGAGCTGTCCCGTGCAGAACTGTCCCAAAGATCTTGATTTATCCACTTCTTTATATTTAAATTGGAGTTAAGAACTGCAATAGCTCTTCAGGGTACCCTATGAAGGCACACGGTATTTTGAAAGCTTTATGAAGGCACTCACAAAACCCCACTCAGATTAGGGTCTTTCCATTTACCAACAGAGATACAGCTTCTCTACACAGAGCATACAGTTTCAGGGTACGGGTGCCCACAAAGCTATAGCTGAAGTGTAGTTTCCTGAATGCTTTTTTAAACAGTGGATTAAAAACAAACAAATATTATTTTGACTTGGATTTCAGAATCTCAAGATGCCAAGCTGTCATCATTTAACAGTTTACTGGTGACAGCTGTTGGCTATACCTAATGGGATGTACACTCTTAGCCATTCTAACAGTGAAATAAATTACTCTTTCTGTAACCTTCTTCACAACTGGGGAGAACTAAAACTGTGGCCAAGGTCCAGTTACTGCAGGATAGCTGACACAAGGGGACTTTGTCATCTGTGGATATTTGTGGTATAACCATGACCTCACAGAAGCAATTTAAAGGTTCAGATAAAAAATCCTTCTCAGACTAGAATAACAACCATCAAATGCAAGAGTATAAATATATTCATAAACACAGTGATAATTCCACTTTGACACATCTTACCAGTATAACTTCCCACTCATCACTTCCAAAAAAATCCTCAAGCTCCAGCTCTGAGTTCATCCCGTCCTCCATGGCCTCCCAGCAATCCTGGAATGCAGACCCATGGACTAATTTCTAGAGGCTGTGCACACCGATGTAAACATACAAGAAAAAGTCTGCCTCACTCTAACACTGCTAATTAATGAGAAAAAATAATTATGAAGGTAATTTAGTATTTCCCTTTGGACTGAAATATGAAAGCTCATCATGAGCTTTTATTATGTACTGCTTATTTTTACCTTCCTTTTTTTAACAGAAAACAACGTTACAGATTTTTTTTTTTTAAATCTTGTAAGATTTAACCCTTAACAACACATATGCATCACCACTGGACAGTTACGTGAAATGACATCTTCTTAGTTACATCTTCTTAATTCCGTAATTCTCCTTGAGCTTTCCATTCTTCATTGCTCATAAAAACAGTACTGATACTGAAAAGACATCCAAAACATCCAGGCTTGCAAATCTTCCTACAATCTCTAAAGTTTCTTCTTTTTCTCCTTTTCAAGTATATTCAGGCCAATAAATGCTGCTAGCTTTATCAATATGAAATCTATTTATTTAGAAGGAAAAAAAATACCTACATGCAACCTAGTGCTTCAATCCTTTTTCTTTAAAATAAACCATAAAGAAGTGGGAAAATCCAATCTCTTCTTGCATACTGCCTTCAAAGTATTTTTTGCTCCTTTTAGTGATCAAATATAGATTTTTCCATGACATTTTGATTAGGCTCTTACTGTGAATACATTAAGTGATAATTGGTCCAAAAATACCTATTGAGCCAGGAACATCAGAATACAGTAAATACTGGGAGCACCATAGGCAGTTGTATGAATCACTTCACATACCTGTGGTTTTCCAGGTTCCTGTGCTTAGTCATGAGTACACTCTTCATTTTCTTGCACACACAATAATTTCTGCCAAATTTTGTTCTTGGCTTCTACACTGCCACCTGTAGTCATACAAGAGAAATTAGCCATTTTATGCTGCAAATCCCATTACCACAATGTTTCAGCTCACTTCTTTTTCTATACAAACACTCTAAAGCATTCTCCTCTGTAAAAGGTGTGTTAAGATATTCAGAGTTATTTGTAATTTTTCGCTTTAATAAATTTCAGGAAGGAAGTAAAAAAAATAAAAAAATAATCACAGTCCCAACTTAGTTTAGCCCCACAGAACATTTAAAATTCTCAAAGACAGTTACAGGCTCTACAGATTTTTAAGTTATCCTTATTGCTTAGTGGACACATCATAACCTTGACAGAGCAAGGTGACTTCTGAAGCAGCAACATAAAATGCACCTGCACTTCATTATTTGGTAAATACAAGAACTAATTTCATTTGATATTCCATCTGAAAAAAAAAACAAAAATGAACACAGTTTTGCAGGAATGTAATTTCCATGCTCAGCGTAGTTACCTTATACAGGTTGTAAAGAAATACATACAAACACACACACCCCTCAAACAAAAAACAAAACAAACAAAAAAAAAAAAACCCAAAACGCTAGTACTTGCAAAATATCTCATAGAGCTGAAAGTGATCTTGAACTTTTTCATACAATGAAACTGGTTTATGCCCAGTTTACAATACCTGGAGGACTATGGCACTGATTTTACTAAATTAACCATTTACATCAAATTAAGACCTAAAACACGACTTAAGCAGAGCCCTCAAGTTAACCCCTTCCTGAAAACATGATAAACCAGAAAATTCACGGCTTCCTGGAAAAAGCAAAGCTTGCTGGTGTTCAGAACAGAAGGTTCACCGAATAATTAAGTTTCAGAGTACAAGCTCGGGGGGAACACTGGCTTTTCCGCGCACATGCACTTCCCCTTCTTCATGCTCTGAATTACCCCTGCCATTCGTGGAAGCAGTCGGCCGAACGTTCCCACTATGTCCCAGTCTGGGAAAACGCTCTCAACACATTAAGGAGAGAAGCTAACTCCGTTCACCGCACCACGGCGACCGCACGGATGTCCGCGGCCGCCGGGGACGCGCACCCCTGCGCTGCCCTACAAGAGCGATCGCAGCCTTCACAGGAACCTCACGCTGGAATGGAAACCGAAATCAAACGCGGTTTTCCAAGAACAAGTTGCTCTTTGAATGGATGGATGGATGGATGGATGGATGGATGGATGGATGGATGGATGGATGGATGGATGAAGCCCGAACCACCGGTGGGGCTGCCTGCGTCCCGACGCGCACCTCCAGGTAACCCTCCCGCCTCCCTCGAGCGGGAAGGCACCGACGGCCGCGGGGACCCGTTGGGGACCCCACCGCCCTCCCTCCCAGCCGCCGCCGCCCCTCCGGCATCCCGCGGTCCCACGCGTCCGTACCCCCGACCCCACCGCGGCGCCCGCGGCCCCACGAAGCCCCCCACAGCCCCACGCCCCAGCTTCCCCTCAGCCCCACTGAGCCCCTCGCCGCGACGCCCACCCGAACCACGCACACGGAGCCGCCCGACCAGGTGCCTCCCACCGGGACGGTACCGGAGGCAGAGGGGCATCCCTAAGCCCGAGAGTCCGGCGCTGCGAAGCAGCGAGCAGCGGGCGCTGCCCACCCACCTGCGCTCGCCGCGCTCCTCACGCCGCCGGCCGGTGCCGCAGAATGAGGCGGCGGCTCCTCCTCACCAGCACGGCTCCCTCCCTCCCTCCTTCCCTCCAGCCGCCGCGCAGCCAAGGGGAGCCGCGCGTCCCGGGTGCTGCCGTGCCGCGCCGCCAGCCTGGGATTCCTGCGGGAGGGCGGGCGGGAGTAGGAAAGGGAGGGAGGGAGGAAGGGACGGAGGGAGGCGGCTCGTCGCTCGGCACAGCCTCCCTCTCCTGCTCTGGCTCCCTCCTTCCCAGGCACGTTTCTGCCGGTGCCACCGCGCGGACCCGCAGCGCGCACCTCCGGCCTCTTCTCTTTTTATCGCGGGGCCGGGTCTCCCGCCACCGCCGCTCCCGCCGCCGCCACCGCCGCGCGGGGGGCAGCACCACCCGGCACGGCGCTGCTGCCTACCCACGGCCGACCCGCCCCCGGCTCCGCCAACGCCAACAGCGCCGCGCCCGCTCCCTCCTCCACGCCGCCCCCCGCCAGCCCACCTGTCCGCACCCCGCTCCGCGGCGCACGCCGCCGCCCGCCCACGGGCCCCCGGCAGTGCCCCGGCCGCGCTCGCCGCATCGGAGGAGCGGCCTCCGGTAGCGCGGGGCGCTGCGGCTCCCGCCGGAGTCGAGGCGAGCGCGCTGAGCCACGGTGGGGGGAGGTAGGCGGTGGGCGGTGTGGGCTGCGCTGTCAAACCGAGGCCGTCCCCCACCTGTGCCCCGAGCGCCTGGATGTCCATACCCCTTCCGTGGGGCGTCGCGGGAGTACCCAGTGCGCCCCTCGCTCCGCCACCAAAGCAAAGGCGCTGCCTTGACCCCTTACGGATAATTCCCATGCTAAGGAATATGCTGGAAAGCCGGTTCTTGGTGGCTCTGGGGCAGCTGGAGCCAAGAGGTGATTTAGCTGGAGGTGGCTGGATCTTCAGAATCGGTTTTGCAATGCTTACACATTTTGCAAAAGAAACAGATAAATACCTGAAAGGAATCTTTAGGAAAATGTCTGTATTGTAACTAGAACTGTGGTTAAATTGGAGGTGGTGTATGTGCTGTCCCAGCTCCCTTACTGATGGAAGATCAGTCCACCCCTTACTAACAGTTCTCTCTTTGTCTCTTTTGCTTGATGTATTTGCATTTTGGAAATAAACGATGTCTTGAAATTACTGGGTTTGTATATTTTTATTCAAATGGTCTTTGCTGTGATACTGACAGCAAAAGAATGTGCTATCACCATCCAGTAAGTCCAACCAACTTCAAAAGGGGTTGGGAGGAGCTGGGTGTGTTGATGGCAGCATCACACCAACAAAACACTGTTTTCAAATTTGTGTAATAAATCTGTTATATTCATTCTTTCCACAGTGATAGATTCCATGTTGCCTAAGACAATCTTTACCTTTCCCAAACATTTTATTCTAATAATATTTGGGGATAATTCTCTAATTTTGGAACCCTACATTTTCAAGGTGATCCAGAAATCCATGCAGTCATGTTATAAACTGTGATACCATGCTGAAGTCTAGTGGTACTAAGAAGTAAGGTACAAAAATAAAGTCACTTGCCTTTGTCTAGTCTTCTGCACAATTAAGTCTGTTTTCAGTTCCGCTTCTTACGTCCCTTGAGCGAGACACCAGGCTATCTGAATATTTAATGAGGAGTAAACCAGAAGTCTGTGTGCAAGTAGCAAGTGTAACATACATTTGTTAATAGCAACGTAGACAGGTACTTGTCTGAAAGAAGTTTAAACAACCAAATTTCCCAACATTAGTAAACATTAATTATATAAAAGCACATCTGCAAACTATTCCTAATGTAAAAAAAAAGATCAAAATCAAGCAAGGCTTTCAACAAAAATTATAAATAAACTTATAGAAATGAGGGTAAAAATTACACAGGCATTTAGAAAAAGCATTTTGAGGTTACTCCAAGAAGAGTCCAGAGGAGGCCGCAAAGATAATCAGAGGGCTGGAGGACCTCTCCTGTGGAGACAGGCTGAGAGAGCTGGGGTTGTTCAGCCTGGAGAAGGCTCCAGGGAGATCTTAGAGCAGTCTTTCAATACCTAAAGGGGACCTACAGAAGGTCTGGAGAGGGACTTTTTATGAGGGCATGTAGTGACAGAACAGGAGGGAATGGCTTTAAGCTGTGAAGGTGGTGGGACACTGGAACAGGTTGCTCAGAAAAGCTGTGGCAGCCTCATCCTGAATGTGCACAAGTCCATGGGACCTGATGAAATCCATCCATGGGTCCTGAAGGAGCTGGCGAATGAAGTTGCTAAGCCGCTGGCCATCATATTTGAGAAATCATGGCAGTCAGGTAAAGTTCCTGATGACTGGAAAAAGGGAAATATAGCCCCCATTTTCAAGAAGGGGAAAATGGATGAGCCGGGGAATTACAGACCAGTCAGTCTCACCTCTGTGCCTGGCAAAATCTTGGAGCAGATTCTCCTGGAAGGCATGCTAAGGCACATGAAACTCAACAAGGTGCTTGGTGACAGCCAGCATGGCTTCACTATGGGGAAATCCTGCCTGACCAATTTGGTGGCCTTCTATGATGGGGCTACAGAACTGATGGGCAGGGGTAGAGCAGCTGATGTCATCTACCTGGACTTGTGTAAAGCGTTTGACACTGTCCCACACGACATGACTTGTGTAAAGCGTTTGACACTGTCCCACATGACATCCTTGTCTCTAAATTGGAGAGACATCAACTTGATGGATGGACCACTCAGTGGATAAAGAACTGGCTGGATGGCCGCACACAAAGAGTTGTGGTCAATGGCTCAATGTCCAGCTGGAGACCAGTAACAAGTGGTGTCCCTCAGGGATCGGTGTTGGGACCGGTCTTGTTTAACATCTTCGTCACTGACATGGACAGTGGGATTGAGTGTGCCCTCAGCAAGTTTGCCGATGACACCAAGCTGTGTGGTTCAGTTGATACCCTGGAGGGAAGGAATGCCATCCAGAGGGACCTGGACACGCTTGTGAGGTGGGCTGATGCCAACCTCATGAAGTTTAACCATGCCAAGTGCAAGGTCCTGCACCTGGGTCAGAGCAATCCCAGGCACAGCTACAGGCTGGGCAGAGAAGAGATTCAGAGCAGCCCTGTGGAGAAGGACTTGGGGGTGCTGGTTGATGAGAAAATGAACATGAGCCGGCAGCATGCGCTTGCAGCCCAGAAAGCCAACCATATCCTGGGCTGCATCAAAAGGAGCGTGACCAGCAGGTCGAAGGAGGTGATCCTGCCCCTCTACTCTGCTCTTGTGAGACCTCACCTGGAGAATTGTGTGCAGTTCTGGTGTCCTCAACATAAAAAGGACATGGATCTGTTGAAACAAGTCCAGAGAAGAGCCACGAGGATGATCAGGGGACTGGAGCACCTCCCGTGTGAAGATAGGCTGAGAAAGTTGGGGCTGTTCAGCCTGGAGAAGAGAAGGCTGCGTGGAGACCTCATAGCAGCCTTCCAGTATCTGAAGGGGGCCTATAAGGATGCTGGGGAAGGACTCTTCATTAGGGACTGTAGTGATAGGACAAGGGGTAACGGGTTAAAACTTAAACAGAGGAAGTTTAGATTGGCTATAAGGAGGAAATTCTTTCCTGTTAGGGTGGTGAGGCACTGGAATAGGTTGCCCAGGGAGGTTGTGAATGCTCCATCCCTGTCAGTGTTCAAGACCAAGTTGGATGAGGTCTTGGGTGATATGGTTTAGAGTGAGGTGTCCCTGCCCATGGCAGGGGGGTGGAACTTGATGATCTTAAGGTCCTTTCCAACCCTAACTATTCTATGATTCTATGATTCTATCCCTGGTAGTGTTCAAGGCCCGGTTGTATAGGGCTTTATGCAAGCTGGTCTAGTGGAAACTGTTGCTGTGTCAGGGGGGTTGGAACTAGGTGATCTTTAAAATACTTTCCAACCCAAACCATTCTATGATTCTGTGATTCTATGCAGTGGTTCTGGTCTTCTGCTCCAAAACCTTACAACCTAGTGGCACACTGGTGCAATAATTAAAAAAAAGGTGTTAACATTGAAAATTTGGGTGCCGTAGCTCTGCTTACAAAAGTATTTGTTAACCATACAGTGCAAACTTTTACATCTAATATGTAATAAAGAATATTTTATCTCTAGATTGAATATTTTATTTCTAGATTTAATGTTTATTCTCTTTCTCTTTGAGATTGTAATACAGGAGACAAATAGAAAAAGGTGATACATTTTCCAGTTGTGCCTCCTCAACTAAATTTTGATTGAAGGTAACCAGCAGATATCAAGAGTTACTGACCAGTGAATATCACTCTGACATTCCATGGTTATCTACAATAAGGTCTGCCACTGCCTTCAAAGGCTGGCTAGTCCAATTGTGTCTCTTCCAGCAGTACATTGGCCACAGAGACTGCACTGACATGCCTCCGGTCTAGAAGAATTCAGTAATTTTCCACTAAATCTTCCATAAATGTACTGTTTTGCCTGCAGTTCTCTTTCCTATAACTGTTACAAATGTATTAAATTCTAGCAGAAAGTTCTTGTCTTTTTCACTGAAGCATGTCCACTGCATAGGCTGTTCCCTTTACCAAAAAAAGTCCTCACTCCTTTCAGGTCTTAAACAAAGCTGCTCTTAAGTCTAGCCCATCACAGGAGAAATGCTCTCAAAGTAAACAAGCATTTGGTGGCTTCACAATGACTATTAGTCAAATGCTATCATATTTGCCTTGAATTTGTGAGGTACAGAAAATTAGATCAGTCATTTCTCATTCTTCTGCCCTCCCCTCCTCTTTCCCACCCACCTCCCAAACAGCTCTGCCTTTTTTTCTTCAGCGATTCAAGATTGCAAGCATACATTCCATTGTTACAATGATTCAGAGACAAAATGAAAGCCAAGTGAAATATTGTTCTCCCAAATCTGACAAGAAAACTTACAGAATGGAAACACCCAGAAGATAAAACCTACTTCTTTTATAATATGCTCCAAAAAACATTACTTGTCACTTTTCCCTTGCTCCCAAAATATATACAGCAACTGCTGGGTTGCTGTAGTACTGAAAATTTCTAGGTTTCTAGATGATGAGCTGTGACTCAGTACTCCTACTGATAAACTTCAATCCATTTACTTTATGTGGTGGTAAATCATCTCTCGCTTTCCTTCCACTAGAACTTATTAAGCACTATCTTGTGGCTTGGGTCTAATCTACCACACCAAGCTTTGCTTTGTCCATCTGAGACCAGATCAGATAAAACCTCTGGCATTTTTCTACACCAGGTCCTAATTTCAGTTGGTACCCAAGTGTGCTTACACCTCTGAGAACATGGGCTGTGCAGGCCATCACCTTAAAAGCTTTCTCCATTGTTCAGCATGGCCCATACCTCCTACTTTATTGACTAAATAA